AGTTTCTCATTTCATTCATACCATCAATAAACAAATCGACTTGTATTTCCAGTCTCTGTTTAATTTGCTTCTATTAAATGATGACCGTGTACGACCTCTTTATTACTATTATTATTATTACTATTCACATATACGCTTAATTCCTCGTTAAAAAAATAACATCGTTTCTAATAAAAACATCAGTCTCTACCAAAATATGTGTAAGCTTTTTTTATGCCGACTTAAGTTGAATTAATATGCCATTGCTAGTTCAGTGTTGTCAAAGCAGAATAAATGACTCAAATTGCTCTGTAAACATTGCCATGTATTCTAAAAAAGTAAAGTAAAAGTTGCATGGAATTTATATTAGGTTGGTGCAAAAATAATGACGTAATAATGTCGTTTTTTGACGTATTTTTAACGTCAAAAACGACATTTTACGTCATTATTTTTGCACCAACCTAATATTTTTTATGATTGAATTTCCGAGGTGAGCAATAATCGTTATCATATTTTAATTATGCTTGTCCGCCTGTTAGTAATTTATCGCGGGCATTATGCTCTGACACTGCTTCATAAAACTATCAAAACAGACCGTTCTGCTTTGATAGTTAAAAAAAATAGAAAGCGTATTTAATAAATACAGTGGTACTTCGGTTCACGAATTTAATTCGTTCCTAAAGGCCCTTCGTAGCCCGAAATGTTCGTAAACCGAAACTGTTTTTCTTTCCAGTAGGAGTCAATGTAGAGAAAAAAGTCACAGTGCAGTAAAATTGGGGGAAAAAAGCACAACACAACACACGAATGTATAAAACAGGGCGGTCGACTGAGAAATTATTTCGTTCGGGTTAACTCTCTGTTCGGCAATGTTGTTCGAGAACCGAACTTGAATTTTGTGTTCGAAAACCGATTTGTTCGACATGTGAGACGTCCGAGAACCGAGGGTGCACTGTAAATATTAGGTTGGTGCAAAAATAATTTCGTTTTTCTCACATAGTAACTTATGTTAGAAAACGAAATTATTTTTGCACCAACCTAATACATAAATAAAAAGAAAAAAAGTTAAAGAAAGAAAGCAAAAGAAAGAAAAAAAGAAAAGAAAGAAAGAAAGCATGAAAATAAAGAAAGAATGAAAAGAAAGAAAGAAAGAAAGAAAGAAAGAAAGAAAGAAAGAAAGGTTATTTTGATAACTAAGAGACTGTTTGAAATCTATTTATTTTTTTATATTTTTTAATCATCTCACCCCAAGCAAGGCAGAAATGCCACTAGTACACAGAAGGTTACAGATAGTGAAAGTGTGAGAACAGACTGGGTATAAGGGGGATTGAGGAAAGAATAAAAGATGAACGGAGTTAAAGACAACAGAAGATGGCGATTGACACTGCACTTAAACTTTTGCTGATTTTAGTTTTCAGGGAATCAAGTAAACGGAAGAGAGTTTCACTGACGAGAAAAGAGACTGTGGGCGTAAAAGTGACGATTACATTTAACTATTTCAACAGTAAAAGGGTGGGACCTAGATGCCAATCTAGTAGCACGCTTAAATTCATGTAGCCACGGCACCAGGGAAAAAAGTTCGTCAGAGCAGTAGCGATGTAAATATTTGTAGAAAAGGGAAAGAGGAAAGTCACGTCACGTCGGTGAGAAAGTGAGTGAACTCGAGATGCCAAGTCAAGATCGATTCCATTACAGATCCTTCTTTGGATTTTCTCAAGAACCTCGTGATGAATAGCAGGAGCACTAGACCAGATATGGCAGTTAGTATTCAATGTACGAACGAATGGCAGATGTGCAAATGTGCAAGATGGACTCTGACGAGGAAAACCTTCTGGCATGACACAATGAACCAACTTTCCTTGCAGTAGATGCAGCTAATGATTCAATGTAGTTGTTTTACTTCAAGTCAGTTGAAAACACGAGGCCAAGAACGCGCAGTGTGAGGCTCTCCAGAAGTCAAGCATCAGTCATGCCTATTACGGACTGGGAAAGTTTCTCTATGGTGGTTAAATCAGAGCAGTTTCGTCCTGGAGGCATTAAAATTTATAAGTTATTTCCTACCCCAGTTAACTACTGATTGGAGGCTTTTTCAAGAGTAGCGGCCAGGTTAAGTTTGTCAGCTCTGGCGGATTTGCTATTAAGACAGGAGTAAATAGTAGTGTCATCTGCATAATTGCCTACTTGGGAGCTGATGACATCAGGAAGATAATTGAGGAAGATCAGAAACAGCGTAGGTCCCAGGATAGAGCCTTGGGAGACACCCGCGTTTATGTGAAAGGATATGGAAGCCAGCCCGTGCAAAACTGCCTTCATTTCACGATTTTATAGAAATGATTGGATTAAATCAAACAATCGTCCTGTAATACCGTAGCCCTTATGCTTACGATGAAGAACGGCATCCCAAACCCTGTCAAACGCATTAGAGATATTTATTATGGTAATTCTTCTCATGTCTCTTCAAATCTTTTAATAATGTAAAAGGAAGAGATGTTTCATAAGTAGCATTTTTAAATAAAATCGTTTATAACCATCTTTGTTCACCTGATGAGTTGCTTAGGTTTAAGCAACGAAACAAATATGCATCTTTGTCATGATTACTTGTTTGTTCGTATTTAACAACTTAATATATATATATATATATATATATATATATATATATATATATAAGTAAGCCTAAAGAGCCAGACAAACCTACCTAGGTTTCACCTACGCGGATCGACAGGGCGGACTGACGATCCGCGTAGATGAAACCTAGGTAGGTTTGTCTGGTTCTCTTTAGGTTTACTTAGTTTGCTCTACTTATTGTATTGAGCACTTTGCTTAGTTATTTTTACTTTACTCGCGTCGGAGGTTTTTTTTTCTTTGTACTCTGAACTTAGATTCTAGACGATTATTTTCGCCGGAAAGTACATGTTCTTAGATCTTTCTTTTTTTTACCCTTTTTTTCCCTTGGGTATTGGTTTGTTCATTTACAAGATAAAACACCTTAGGTTTTGTCGGACGAGTATAGTTGCTTATATTTATAAGATTATTAGTGTTATATATATATATATATATATATATATATATATATATATATATATATAAACGTTCATAAACGCAAAGGTAGGAAAGAAAGAATAAATAATATTAAATTAAAACAGAACATTACATTTCATCCGAAAGTGATTAAAATCGCCCATTCCAAGACCTGCAGGTTCTTCTCGGAGTTTGAACAAAAAGAAATGAATTCTGGGATATGCTACTAGACGCCATAGAGTTGGGATTAAGTGGGTGGGGCAGCTCCGCGTTTCTACCTTTTCTTCTTTTAGTGCAGGGGGGTGGGCTTGTCGGTCGAGCATTTTACATCTTTTTTTAATAAAAACTTCAATCTTTCTAGCAAGATTTGTGTAAGCATTTTTATGTCCATAATGCGAACAATTTCCATGAAGGTATTTATAGAAAAGGCACAGGGAAGCTAAATTACGGCAGTGGGAAAATGAATGAAGTCGGATGCCGGGTCAAGACCAATAATATTGCAGATTCTTCTTTGTTTTTTTGTTTTTTTTCAAGAATTTCTAAATATATAGCAGGAGTACTGGGCCATATGTGGCAGAAACATTCAAAGGATGGATGAATGGTTAACACTTATAAATAGGAAAAATTTCTCAGAGTTAACTTGTAAGACAATATTTATAAATGTAAAAGTCAATGGGAAAACTGTAATAGTTGCCGACGCGTTTCGTCCAATGTGGACTTTTTCAAGGCAAAAAAAAACAAAAAAAAAACGAAATGAATTTATTAAAACAAAGTAACTAATAATAACAAAAAACAAAATGTCCTTAGCAACTAGAAGAATTTAGAGAACGCTATTTCCATACAGTAATTGACATAATTTTCAGTTAACAGTATGAAAATAGCGTTCTCTAAATTCTTCCAGTTGCTAAGGACATTTTGTTTTGTTATTATTATTAGTTACTTTGTTTAATAAATTCATTTCGCCTTTTGCCTTGAAAAAGTCCACGTGGGACGAAACGCGTCGGCAACTATTACACTTTTCCTATTGTCTTTTACATTTATAAACTTATAAATATGTAAGATAGACTTTGGAGAGATAATCAGAAAATGAAAAATGGGAAAAACACCAAAATCCGAAGATTCATTGGAATAACAAAAGATACGTTTCAAAATCTAAGCACATTACATAGTGGCTCACAAAGACCAGTTTAAAACCGCAAGAGAGCATGAATTCAGGGAAAAGAAAGCAGAAAACGGATGATGGTAAAAATGGGATGAAAAGCATTCTCTCCAGTCGATTGTGATATAGAGAGTTATTTACCGAGAATACTCCTAAGTAGAGCTATTCTGCATTCAGGCAGAAGACAAATCCCATCTGCATTGATGGAAAGATTAATAAGAGCTCCAATTATGTCATTTGCAATGAATGAAAGTATGTGGTACACAAAGGACAAGGGTTCAAGTCCTGAAAAAGTAGATTTTGTGATACAAAAGGGATTTAACATAGAAGTGTTAACAAAGAAGGAACAGAACATACTGGCTCGCGAAGATCAATTTAGAACCACAAGAGAGCATGAATTTAGGGAAAAGGAGGAGGAGGAGGAGGAGGAGGAAGCAGAAGAAAAGACGATGCAAGAAAGGATGAATGAATCCAGTATTGAGAATGATCACGAAGATCACCAGAGATATGAAAGTGAAGAACAGGAGAAGGAGGAGAGAATGGGTGTATCCAGTAGTAATGACGAACAACCCGCGGATGAGAGTGACCGGAGATGTCATGAGGATTCAAATGAGAAGAATCAGTTAAGACTTAGATCTTTTATAAAAAGAAATAAAGAAACTCACTCTGAGAGACGAATGATGTCTTTCGGGGATGTTCGTAGAAGCCAAAGATCAACTAAAGGTATAAAGCCTGTTCGGTTCAGAAGAGTATAGTGATATGTAAATGAGGTACTGTATAAAAAGCAGTCTCGCTATATCTATTAGAGAGTTATCTTCTCTTGATGAGATTAAATCTGTCAGAGAGAATGCCTATCATAACACTTTCCTTTCGTATTTGTTATGATTTTACTTTTTCTTTCTTTAATATCTCTCTCATTTTCTCTTCATTCATTTATTCCTTTTTCTTTCTTTCTTTCTTTCTTTCTTTCCATATACAATTCAATTCCTTTTAGTCTCCATTTCTTTCTTTCTTCTTTTTGAACTTAGCTTTCATTTTTGTCTTCCTCTACTTGTCTTCTCTTTCTTTCTTTCTTTCTTTCTTTCTTTCATCATTCCCCTTCCTCTTTTTTCTATATCGAACTCTTATTATTATTATTATTTTCCATTTGAAATCTTCACTTTCTTCTCCTTTACCTTTCATTTCTTGTTTTTTTCTTGCTCGTTCTTGAACTTTTATCTGACGCTATTTAAATTGACTGATCCGCTCGTAAAAAATAAGAATTTTTTTTACAAATTGTATATATTAGCATTCCTTAGGCTTTCCTTGAATCACGAGATTTGTCAGAATCGAAAAATATTTAGCTTTTTCATCATTTTTGGAGCGGGTAGGTCCTGTTTATAATATAAATAGAGTCCCAGATCGATTCCTAATTTCTTAAATAATTATTTGCGTACAAATGGAGAAAAGGGACAACATCAGTAGTAATATAATATAAATAACTCTTTAAGAAGTCAGGGATCGATTAGACACTGTATTTATACTATAAACTAGACCCCCACTTCTAAAATTATAAAAATCAATATTTTTCTATTTTGGCAAAAGTTGTGACTAGAGAAATATCTAAGAATTACTAATCCACAATAATTATTACTCAATTTTTTTTTCAAGCGGACCAGTCAATTTAAGTAGTTACATTTCTCCTTCCCTCTTTTTTTTTTTTTCGTTCTCATCTTCTTCAACATAATGGCCGACATTTGCACCGCCTTCCTAATCAAATAACAGCCCGTTGAGCTTTAATGGACTGAACAAAGTCAAAACGAATCAGCCTCTCTTTCTGCCTCGCATCTACTGAATGCTTATGGGGACCCTCCATGTTTAGTCCAAGTATCTATATAGAATAAGATGCCCTAAAGGCATACCTCAAACAGGGCGGCATATTGCTCATTTACTGACGCTCAGCTTAAACGACTACAAATTTTGAACTCGACCGTCTTCAGCTCCCTTTCGTCTTCCTCCTCAATTTCTCTTTGTTTCTTTATTTCCTTTCCTTTTTTCACTTCATCCTCCTCTTCTTTTTCTTCACCTCCTCTTCCTCCACCTTCTTGTTTTCCGCAACTCTTCGTCTCAACAGTTCTCTTTTGCCCGCCGTCTTCTTTTCTTCCTCCTACTTATTTAAGTCTTTTTCTACATTTTTCATACGCCTCTCTTTCACCTCTTCCCCCCTCTCCCTTTATTTTATTCCTTTCTCCTTCATCTAATCTCTCCTCTTTCTTTCTTTTCGTAGCTGTCATTTCTGTTTTTATGTGTCATATACCTTCAAAAAGGAATCGACCAGAGTAAACGGTTCTTTTCTTAGCTGCATAGTATGTGCTTCGCCAGAGCTACATTCAGTTTCCATTCTCCTAGACCGGTTGCCACCCAAGGCTATAGAACCCACTCTGATCTGCTGGAGTGAAAAAAAGTTGGACTCAAACGTTTCCCAATGGTATTAGCAAGTGAATGTAATAAACCCGACTGAAATTCAAACTCGGCTCTCCGATTCCTCAGTCCGAGCCGCAATCCAATACTTTACCGTGCTTTCTTCGCGAGCAATCATGGCTCTCCACAACATTCTATCCTTTGTAGCTCTTAGTAATGTTTGTTCTTTTACTCTCCCACCCACTCTTTGTTGTGACATCCACTTAAACAAGCACCTTGGGTAAGGTCCTCATTGCGTCTCTCATTCCTGCTTGCCTTCAAAATGTCCTGCGAGTGTCAAATTTTCCGAGCCCTCTTTCCTCATGTATGTATCTTAGAAATGTCCTGTCTCTTTCTGATTTTTTCGTATTTGTGCCTTTTGTTTCCGTTTCCCTTAAAACTTCCTCGTTGATCACATGTTCTGTATATGGTATTCTCAGCATCCTTCTGTAGAATCACAACTCTGTTGCCTCAAGCCTCCTCTTCATCTGTGAGCAAACTGTCCAGCATTCACTGTCAAATAGGAATTATATCATATAACAGATGAGCGTTCTTCTTTGTTTCTAATAAGTTTTCCTGATTCTTATTATTTTGCTTGTGAGAAGACCCCCTTCGCTTTTTCCAATCGGACTTCGGATTTCGGTGTCACATTTTCCCGTTGTCTGCTAAAACACTTCCCAAATATTTAAATTATTGCAATTGCTTATTTCTACATCTCCAACTCGTAGCTCACATCTTGGGACGTTCCTCTTGTTAACGACCAAATATTCTATCTTTTTACACTGTCCTGGATATGACGATAAACTACATCCGCGTCCTGAATAAGACGATAAACTACGTCTATCAGCAAGGTTTTGAGGAGCGTGGAACCACCTCTTAATTGGTGGTGCTCCCAGGTCCACCCTGAATCGGAGTGGTAGCATCTGTTAGGGTCCCAACTATGGGCAAATAATTAACCCCGAAACTGAGGTCAAAACACCATGAAAGTGTAAAAATAGGTTTTAATACCAGAAATACTTTAAAAAATTTTCACCAGCTTGATAAAAATATTATCAACAATGTTTTTAAAAAATAAATATTACTAGCAATACATTTCTTAAAAAAAATATTACCAGCAAAACATTTTTGAAGGAAAAATATTACCAGAAATAGATTTTTGATAAAACAAAATATTAGCAGCAATAAAAATGTTGTCGGCTTTAAATAACCCATTGAGGTTTTGATATGCCGTAAAACAGAACAAACCAAATCAATCTATCTTTTTACAATAATTGGCCCTGATCTGGCATCTCGTCTGCAGTCGCTCTCTCACAGACATGCCGTCGCCTCCCTTTGTCTTTTTTACAAATACTTTCACGGTAACAACTCCAATGAGCTGCTTTCGCTGGTTCCCAGACTTCATGAATTTAAGCGTTCTACTAGGGGGGCATCTCGCTCTCACCCTTTCACTGTCGAAACTGTTAAATTAGCCGTCTCTTCTACTCCAATATTTTCATGTCTCGCACTTCTCGCCTGTGGAACTCTCTCCCCATTTCTTATTTCCCTGATAGCTCTAATCTCCAACTATTCAAATGTAATGTCAATCGACGTCTCCAGATGCCTTGATCTATCCCCTATCCTTCTCTTCATCCTTTCCTCTATCACTCCTCTTTGCTCTCGCTCCAACTCTCTGTAACCAATTGCGTGCTAGTGGCTTCCCGCCTTGCTTGGAGTGTAATTTGCTTAAAAAAAGAAAGTCTTTTCTCCCTGCTAGATGATGTCCGATTTTAAATCAAACCTTTTGTGTTCTAATCTTATAATATTAACTTGCTCGGAAAATAATATTCATTTTAAAAATAAACCTATTAAATGGGTTCTAATAGATTATTATAATATTCAGTTGCTCGAAAAATAATGCCCAATTTAAAAATAAACCTTTGGATTGCTTTATGATATGTTTTTATAATTGTTGCACAAAACGTATATCACTCATTCCTAAAGATTAAAGTGCCATCTTTCTTAATTTTATATCAATCACTTTCAGAAATATGGTCTCAAGTAAATGTAAACATGGGAAATTAGAATTGGGTTGTTCAGAAAATAATGTCCGATTTTAGAATAAGCCTTTTATATCTGTCTATATCTCTGAGATGAGGTATTATGTACACTATTTACATTGCTCGGACTATCATCCTCATCTTTGTTGCCATATTTATCACAATGTTTCGGCCGTTGTATGTTCCGGCCTTCTTCAGGTGGTTGGAATGTCGAACTGAACCCTTTATTTCGCTCGCTTCTGTAGACTGTTCTAGTTCCACGTGCCATATTTAATGGATGTCAGTTATCAGTCATCTCCTGTTAATTCCCCTCTCCAAGTTCTCCACCGCCTTAACTAGGTATTGAACTCACACTCTTTGGGCCGTGTCACAGGATCTAACTAACGCCTTTATCCACTGTATGCAATGATAACAACAATAATTGCAATATGAGCACTGGTAAAAATGGTTGCTGAAGACATTAGGTTTATAATACCCAAAAATTCATACACAGATGTTCTCAAGGACACATTGCACAGTGGATAAAGGCGTTAGTGGTAGAGGACGTCGAGTTTTGGTCCCGGCTTGAAGCGATCGGGTGTCTAGCCACACTGATGAGCTGTGATACTGCGAAACAGTCTGTCTGTGGATGACGATATATATATATATAGAGAGAGAGAGAGAGAAAGAGAGAGAGAGAAAGAAAGACAGACAGAGAGAAAGACATAGATAGATAGATAGATAGATAGATAGATAGATAGATAGATAGATATAATAAAAAGTTATTAATCAGAGTTGAATTAATAATAACATTTCCAGACTAGAAAAAATCTTCTGAATGTGAAATCAGAAATAATGAGGCAATGCATACACACTAAAAAGATCCTTTTGACTTCGTACGAAACAAGATGAAAGTATGTACATTTAATATAACCCCCACTCCAATACAATTTCAATATCCTTGCTTTTCTCTTCCCCTTCTATTACACTTCACGTTGTGTGATTATTAATTTTTAAATAATGAAGCGTTACAAAATTATTTAGCCCGAATCGCTGACGATACCGAAAGGTTGAAACCAAGGTAGCGTGATCGTCTGATATAATTGTTCTAAATATATATATATATCAATAAGGAGGCACTGTTTTTGTTTGTGGTCTTTAATAACAATGTCTGGGCAGTTGGCTTTGATTGTTCTGTCAGTGTGTATTATTATTATTATTATTATTTCCTTTGATTTCTGTTGTATACTGATTTCCTTCCAGTTCTCAACCAGAGACCTAAGGTCAGAAATGGCTTCAACATATTTTTCATTTATCATTTAACACACACATTTTACATAGATAAATCTCTTTGTAATGTGTGAGCTGTACTTGTGAGTATAATCTTTAAGGCAATAAGCTACCAGGAATCCCTTCAATGTGTCTATGGAAACCTTTTTCAATCAATCTGAGGGCTCCAACTACAACTGGAATATTGATGTCCACATGTGCCACATATATGAGATTTCCATTTCAAGATCCTTGTATTTTGATAGTTTTTGGAAAATCTTCAAATACATTATATTCTGCAAGAATTGTCATTTCAATAAGCTAGCCCATTATGTTTTTATGATCTTTGATCTGCGTGTATTGCAAACTCCCATTTTTTTTTTCTTTAAAGGCATGGGCTACCAGGAATCTCTTAAATGAGCCCATAAATTTATTACGGGTCCTGTCTCTGTCACCGAGTCTGGGTGATGTTCATCCCAATTTCTTACAGATTCCTTTCCGTAAAAGTAGCAGATTCTCCAGTACAGATATTGGCCCACTCCATCATGCCGAGTTTTATATTCATTGAGGGATAACATCGTGCTACATGATACAGGATGGTCAATTGTTTCTGGATATTTATCACAGAGTCTGCATTACACAATTTTTCAGTATGTGTGCTTGGTAATTTCGATTTCGCAAGCATTGGTCCTGTGCAGCAAGAATAAAGCCTTCGCTTGGAGCTTTTAACCCTGCACTACGTAGCCACTGATGGGTATGGGGTTTGTCTGCATCCATTTGTTTAGTACGGCCATAAAGAGGCTTATCTTGTCATTGTTTCTCCATTTGATACATTACATTTGCATTTTCTTTATTTTTTAGGTTCTTTGTCGCTGCAGTAGAGGTGCACTATGCTTCATTTTTACTTCTTCACCCACTTGGAATTTTCTTTTTGAATTTATTGGCTTCCTTTATTACTGAATAAACCTTCGTATTTATTTCCCATTTTCTTTGACATAGATCAGCACCTAGTCTTGTATAGTTTCCAGGTATCTTTGAAGACTGATTCTTGTGGTTTTGTAAGTCGATCAACATCGGCCATAGGCAGAAGCATGCGGTGGCAAGTGGGATGATTTCTCATTTTGACATCCATTCGCTTAACGTCAGCTATGGCCTAGTTAAGGGTGTTGAAACTGTATTTCACCACTGGGAGAGTCAAAGTGTTTATGGTTGATATTCTGTTTGGTGAATTCAAATCGTTATTCAACACAAGACACACACGCCTATAATATTCTTTTCTTACTTTCTCCTTCATTTGTGCATGCTGTAGTCCATCTCTTTCGCTGACTCTGAGGTACTTATAGGTTTCTTCTTCTTCCAGATATTATTAATGATTGTCGTCTTGCAATACTATTGATTCGATCATTAAATATGTCTATGAATGAATGGTCTGTTTTAATTTTTTAAAAATCCGGATAAGTTTATACTGTGTATACTCTTTAAAAAATCCTAGTTTGTTCATATACTATTAGGTTAAATGATTACAACCCTAATCGTTTGCACAGTTCTAAGGTGATCACACCTCCACCCCAGTCATATTTGTATAATTTTATAAATTTT